CTCATTAAACAAGGGATGCTCTTCCCTTTGGTCTCCCAGAACATGGGCTGGTTTTGCCACACCAGGCAGTGACATCCTTAATCAGAAAACTCCAGTTGTTGATGTAATAAAAAAGTGGAGCTCTTGGAGAAAATTGAAACCTGTCACCACTCTGGGTATATTTTTATAGCACTTTTTGTTCTAAAGCACTTAATATGTTGTCCAAAATAGGCACCTAATTATATCTGCAATGCCACGTTCAGAGGCTTTTTAGTAAGTAATTAACACATTACACACATGTCTTCCAGGAGGGAGTGGGGGAAGGGGTAGGTTGGCTCAATTCCTTTTGAGATGCCATAAACTACTCAGAATTTAAGCTCTGGAGCAGGAGGGAGCAAAGTGCCTCTTCCAGGGTTCCCAGGAGCTCCCAAGCATGTACCTGGCTTCCTCTGAGAGGGAAAACCCCTTGGTTGTTTCTGAGGAGTCTGTGGTGATGTGTCACTCCAAAAGCAGGGTGGGTTCCGTCCCAAAGGCTGCACCTCGTGCTCCTGGTGCCTGGGAGGTGCCCCCATGCCCAGGGGTGTGGGAGCAGCAGGACTGGCTGCAGGACTCTGCCCTTCACCCTCAGCATTAACCTGGACTCAGGCCGCCTGCACGAGGGGTGGGAGGGCAGGAAACCCCCCAGGTGTCCCTGTGGGTCTGTCCCTGTTCCCCAGGTCCGTGGGGATGTGTGTTCTGCACCCTCACCCAGCATTACCAGGATCTCCAGCCTCTGCCCTGTGCAGAGCCCTCAGTCCTGTTCTGCTGCCACCCCAGCAGTGAGTGAGGCTGCAGGTCCCCAGTCCCAGGGTGGGGGGTGGTGGCAGCTGTCCCTGGTGCCATCCCACTACCCTGAGCTGGGCTTCTCCCCCAGGGAGGGTCTCCAGGTTCTGGTCCCAACCAGCCTGAGATCCCTCAGCTCTGTCCCCTTGGCTTCCAGTGCCAGGCAGAGCCAATCCATGTTCCAGTTCTGTGCAATACTGACAGGAGAGAGCCAGGGGAAGCTTTTCCTCAAAATTGGGCTGGAACTTGGTGAGGTTTCATAACGAGTGTTGAGGACAGAACCCCAGCTCGGGGCGGGGAGGACGAGCAGCAGTGGGAGTGATAAACACAGATGGCTCCTGTCGTGCAGCTCCTTCCAAAAGTCTGGAAAAAATCGCTGGTGGTGAGGGAAGATGGAGCTGAGGAGCAGTTTGGGATGGGCAGTGCTGGTGTGGGGGAAGGTGCCAGAATGAGGAGCTTGTGTGGAATGAATGACACTTTATAAAACTGTGATTTCTTGACCTGCATTTTCACAGGGGAAAAAAAATAAAGCTAAAAAAAAATAATTCTTTTTATTCTCATTGCTGGTGGTTTGATACATTTTCCAAGGAACAAGAGGGTGGTGCTGAATAGGATGTTTTTCAGGAAGAGGAGCCTGGTCTGATGAAATTCTGCTGATGAAATTCTGCTAATGCCTTGGGTTTGGGGGATGCAGGGAGAGGTCAGGGAGGGTGGTGGGCACTGACCAGGCTCCCCAGGGCAGTGGGCACGGCCCCAAGGCTGCCAGAGCTCCAGGAGGGTTTGGACAACACTCTGAGGGACAGGGTGGGATTGTCGGGGTGTCCTGGGGAGAGCCAGGAGTTGGAATCCATGATCCTTGTGGGTCCCTTCCAGCTCAGGATATTCTGTGGTTTCTGGGGATGAAGAGGCAGCAGTAACTCTGGTGGATCTAAGCACAGGCTTCGCTGCATATCCTGACATATCTCCTTCCTAAAAGACAGTCCCTTTCCCTCCCTCTGTCCTGTTCCAGGGATTTGCTGCACCAGGAGCTGCTTGGTCTCCTGGGAGGTGCAGCAGGTCCAGGCTGTTTTTATAAACCCTCTTTAGGCCCTGGAAGGGGCTCTCAGGTCTCCCCAGAGCCTTCTCCCTTCTCTTCTCCAGGTGAACCCCCCCAGCTCTCCCAGCCTGGCTCCAGAGCAGAGGGGCTCCAGCCCTTGGAGCATCTCCATGACTTTCTCTGGACTTGATCCAACAGGTCCTTTGTTTCCTGAGGCCCCCAGAGTTGGACACAGTGGTCCGAGTGGGATCCCATGAGGGCAGAGTGGAGGGGAGGGCTTAGACTTCTCTGGAAAGGTACAGCTCAGCTTAGGGAAGCACCATCCATCCCCCTCTCGGCTCCAAGGACAGCCCAGCCCAGTGTAGAACAGCCCGTGTTGGGCTTTGTTCTGGACCTTGGTCCTTCCTTCCCTCCTTCTCTCCATCCTCTCCTCCCTCCCTCCCTCCTTCACAGCATCCCCCCCTCCCTGCAAACCAACCTTCTCCCCGACAAAGTCCTTTGTTATCCTCTGAGACGTTTTATTACCAGTTCTGCTTTAGAATTAAACAGGCCTTCAGTATATAAAAATAATGTATACAAATGAGCAGTTAATGGTTTACATTTCTGGCTTAAAGGCATTTATAAGTTACACATTCATTCCCCACCCCTCCCCGGGTGACGCGGAGCCGGCGCTGAAGCAGCTTAAATACAGCGGGGAGCAGCGGCCGCTCTGGGCT